TGGTTTTGGGTTTGCTCGTTGTCAAATTTCTCTGCAAGATTTGACTAGAGCATGTTTTTGAAACTCGGCCATGTTCTCGGGAAAACATTCCATAATGTGTTATCTGACATTTTCATCATGTCTTTTTTCAAAATAGCGTCGTTAACAGGCTACCTTTCCTGATATTTCTCACAAAGCTCTACTCCAAGTATCTACATAGCACTCGTCAGAGTGACATTTGGAAGGCAGACCTCAATTGTGTACTTGCTAAATTTTTCCCATTTTCTCCCTTCCTTAATTTTGACCTTTTCTTGTTCCGATCCATCCTAGTTTTACGCGTCCTTTTGCAAATCTATCTGTCATCCATTCCATTTTTCGGGCTTATTGATCTGCTACTTCCCATTCGACGATCGCTCAGAAACCTGTGGCTTAAGTAACCGACCCATTACATGAATTCCTACCGTGCCAACATATCAGTCATACTTGGGAACTGGTCCACCAGAAATACCTTCGATATATATGCATATATACACGAGGATGGCTACCAAACCATGCTTTCCCTCTAGACCTCCTGTTCTTTATAAACACAATTTTGAAGTTATCATTTTCTTTCTCCTCTCTTCACACCTATCTCTCTCACTCATTCTCTCACTTTCTCCTGCCACATTCCTATCCTATTTCTCGGAGGTTGCTAAGTCTGGCTCATCTATCGCCACGTCACTTTTCTGGATAACGGTTTTTGTAGCACCATAGTCATTCAAGTGTAAACCTACTTACTTCAAACATTATCAACCCTTTGGTTCCATTGTTTCCAATTCGGAATGAGCACGTGCGTTGGTAAATCTCATAGTAATTTCATATAATTTTAGTTCGGCTTGGCAGAGGTCCTTATGTACAGTCCTCTACTTGTTTGAATCATTAAATCACCTTATAGTATAGTTAATTCACCAAAATGGAATAAGGCTATTGCCTCCAAATTAAAATAGCGTAAACCTACCGGTACATGTAAGAGCAAATAAGGCCTAAATAACTATATATGAAGACCAAGATGTTGTGGCCTCTGTTATAGTCGCAGTCTCCTTTCGATTTTTAGAAGTTGGTTGACCTCGTTGTGTTCAGGGCGACTATGTAGAACGCACATAGTCCAAAGTCGTCTGCCATAGTAGTTGTCTTGATTCCCAGCATCTGACAGGAGACTTGATACATTCTCAAACGTTTCGCCGGCATCGTAGTCGGCATCATCGGTCAGCCTTGCCATTCTCCGCACCAAGATACGAACTCATCAAAGACTCGTCGCCTTGACAACTTCGGACTAGGTGCGTTCTACATAGTCTCCCTGAATACAATACCAA